TTTTTTTCATCTTTTCTCAAGTTTTTTGTAAAGACATTTGAATAAATTTATGTTACTTTAGAGATGAAGAGCAACGAATCAAACTTGCAAACTTGCAATTCTTTGAATATCAACTGAATTATGTAAATGATTCAGAGTTATAGATCTTTGACAAAGTAACAAAACAAGGACTTTACCTCGAAAGGCCTGAACACCATACATTTCCCTTACAAGAACCGATATAGCCTTCTCCTCTCATAAAAGAATGAAAAGAGGCTTGGTATTTAGATGTGCATAGTTGCGGACAACATGGGGCATCTCTTGCATATGACATTTCTAAACTTTTTGTTTAAGACGTTCAGTGATGATAATGATCTTCACAGATGGAATAGTCGAGTAAGCAAATCTAGTTTAGGTCAATTGTTTGGAAATTGAACTCTAAAGATGAGATCCCTTGACTTTAAAAAACACCTAGACTATAACAGGTTCTTCTTGACAAACTTAAGAAATTGGACACGTATACCCAGATTATAATATTATATATATACAATAAAGCTTGAGCTGTCCCTCTAAAGCAATTGGTTAAACTCCCTGGCTTTATGGATAAGATTCAACTAGCCTGATAAAGGTGATTATAATGTACAATAAAGCTTAAGTTGTCCCTCTAGAGCAATTGGTTAAACGCCCCGGCTTTATGGATAATATTCAACTAGCTTGATAAAGGTGATTATAATATCTATACAATTATATTGAGTTGTCCCTCTAGAGCAATTGGTTAAACGCCCCGACTTTATGGATTCAGCTAGCCAGACAATGGCAAATTTAAATAAGGAGTTTCGGTAAAATGGACTAGGGAGTTAAGGAACACCTGTTATAGTAAACTTCACACGAGCACTCAGGAATTTTATTTTTAGACTGATATTTCTGCACGGCCTTTGTTAGAGGAGCCTATGAAGCTTGAACAAATGGAAGATTTCAGAGAATCAAAATAGAAGGTCTAGTAATTGATAATGCTAGTTGCGTCATTTTGTCCGCATCCAATTAAAATGTCAAGCCAAAGAAAAAGCATGTTGCGATTACCGAAAAAATGACATTTTTTATGGATGTCATCCACTTGAATATTTGTCAATGAGCTATAACTCTGAAAGCATTAAAAGAGCTATTAATTCATTTGATGTTCTTTGAACTCATGTTTATGATTTGATTCAATTTGATTGCGAGCCTGAATTAAGGGGAAATGTTTTACAGAATTCTTCTATTTTCATATCATTTTTTCCCTCCTAAATAAGAGAAAGGAAAAAACATTTTCAAACAGGAAAGTCTCAAATGTGAAAGGCTTCAACCCGAGAAGAAAATGGGGCATGATCGATTACAAGGATCAACATCGGCAGACAAAGCACGAGACTCCATCCAAGGCTAATTCATATTGCATGCATCTTAGACATACTTAAGAACATTACATTTATCATTTTTCACATGCATAATTTTTTGCAGCTTTCAGAGACAAGTTTCGACTTCATGAAGAAAGATACTCGATTCAAAAGCTCTTTTAAAGATCGATGGTGGTTGCTTGACAAAACAGTGAGAAGCTACACCTCAACTGACTTGACATATCTATCGATCTCATAATCAATTTCAGATGGGTTTGAGAGCCAATTCAGAACGAATCCAGATCAGCTTAACTCAATAACGAGTAGTAGGTTTCCAGTTAACATTTTCAAGCCATATTTCTATTCCACGACGGAAGATATCCGGCTAACAGAATTTATCAGTGGGCTTTCCCCGTGAAGGGGAGTTATCCAAAAATCATATTATTTGGTTCAGACACGCTCAAAGGAACCAACTGAAGAATTATGACCGGCTTAGACCCGTGAAGGGAAGCCATTCTTTAAAGAAACTATTGGCAGCATAACTCAAGGCTAGAAGGGTTATCTTCCAACAAAAGACCTTCGAGTTCGACTACTCTCAGCTCCAAGGCACATTATTTGCAACATAGCTCAAGGCAAGAAGGGATATTTTCCAGCAAAAGACCTTCGAGTTCGACTACGCCTAGCTGCAAGGCACGTCATTTGTAGCATAGCTCAAGGCGAGAAGGGCGATCTGCCAACAAAAGACCTTCAAGTTTGACTACGCTCAGCTCCAAGGCACATCATTTGCAATATAACTTAAGTCGAGAAAGGCTATCTTCCAACCAAAGACCTTCAAGTTTGATTACACTCAGCTTCAAGGCACATCATTTTCAGCATAACTCAAGGCTAGAAGGGTTATCTGCCAACAAAAGACCTTCGAGTTCGACTACGCTCAGCTCAAAGGCATATCATTTGTAGCATATCTTAAGTCGAGAAGGGCTATCTACCAACCAAAGACCTTCGAGTTCGATTACACTCAGCTCCAAGGCAAATCATTTACATAATAACTCAAGGCCAGAAGGGTTATCTATCAACAAAGACCTTCGAGTTCGAATACACTCAGCTCAAAGGCACATCATTTGCAGCATAGCTTAAGTCGAGAAGGGCTATCTGCCAACCAAAGACCTTCGAGTTCCATTACACTCAGCTCCAAGGCAAATCATTTACAGTATAACTCAAGGCTAGAGGGTTATCTGCCAATAAAAGACCTTCGACTTTGACTACGCTCAGCTCAAAGGCACATCATTTGCAACATAGCTTAAGTCGAGAAGGGCTATCTTCCAACCAAAGACCTTCGAGTTCAATTACACTCAGCTCCAAGGCAAATCATTTACAGTATAACTCAAGGCTAGAAGGGTTATCTGTCAACAAAGTCCTTCGAGTTCGATTACCCTCAGCTCAAAGGCACATCATTTGCAGCATAGCTTAAGTCGAGAAGGGCTATCTGCCAACCAAAGACCTTCGAGTTCATTTACACTCAGCTCAAGGGCATATCATTTGCAGTATAGCTCAAGGCTAGAAAGGGTATCTGCCAAAGACCCTCGAGTTCGATTACACTTAGTTTCGAGTGCACATCATTTGCAGCATAACTCAAGGCTAGAAGGGTTATCTGTAAACAAAGACCTTTGAGTTCGATTATCTGTCAACAAAGACCTTCGAGTTTGATTACACTCAGCTCAAAGGCACATCATTTGTAGCATAGCTCAAGGCAAGAAGGGTTATCTGCCAACAAAAGACCTTTGAGTTCGATTACACGCAGCTCAAAGGCACATCATTTACATCATAACTCAAGGCTAGAAGGGTTATTTGTCAACAAAGACCTTCGAGTTCGATTACAATCAGCTCAAAGGCACATCATTTGCAGCATAGCTCAAGGCAATAAGGGTTATCTGACAATAAAGACCTTTGAGTTCGATTACACACAGCTCAAAGGCACATCATTTACAGCATAACTCAAGGCGAGAAGAGTTATCTGTCAACAAAGACCTTCGAGTTCGATTACACTCAACTCAAAGGCACATCATTTGCAGCATAGCTCAAGGCAAGAAGGGTTATCTGCCAACAAAGACCTTCGAGTTCGATTACACTCAGCTCAAAGGCACATCATTTGTAGCATAGCTCAAAGCAAGAAGGGATATCTACCAATAAAAGACCTTCGAGTTCGATTACACTCAGCTCAAAGGCACATCATTTACAACATAACTCAAGGCGAGAAGGGTTATCTGTCAACCAAGACCTTCGAGTTCGATTACACTTAGCTCAAAGGCGCATCATTTGCAGCATAGCTCAAGGAGAGAATGGCTATCTTCCAACAAAAGACCTTCGAGTTCGATCACAGTAAGCTCAAAGGCATATTAAAGTTACAGCATAACTCAAGGCGAGAAGGGTTATTTGTCATCAAAGACCTTCGATTTCGATTATATTCAACTCAGAGGCAAATCAAATTTACAGCATAGCTGAAGGCAAGAAGGGCTATCTGTCAAAAAAACTATCGAGTTAGATTCCATTCATCTCGATGACACATCAACCACACGGTAGCATCGAGAAACTACTTTCTGGTTGAAGCCGAGGTCTTCAAGTTAAGAAGAAGATCTGGGGCAATCTCTCAGCTCATTACAGCATAACCCAAGGCTAAAGTTTAAACTGAGGTCTTTAAGTCAAGAAGAAGACTTGGGTTAACTGTGTCTTAATGACAAGAAACCATTTTCCAGCAGCATAGTTTAAGTCGAGAAAAGCTATATGCCAAAGAAGATTTCTGAGTTCGATTTCGAGAGACTATCAACCATATGGTGGAGTCAAGGAACCATTTTCTGATCAAGGTCTTTTAATCGAGAAGAAGACCGAAGTTGATTACAATTTGGCAACGAGAAACCATAATCTGATCCAAATTCTGAACCACGGCTTCAATTCCATTTCAAGATGAACTCGACTTTGCGACGGAGGAGTCATTCGTAACTCGACTCGACAGAGAGTTATTCGTAATTGAAATATCAGACTACCGAACGAAAATTTGTGTCCTTTTATCTTTGTCCTATATTTTGTTCCACGAAAAAGGACAAAGAGAGGCAGCTGTCAACACCTAATTTTGTCCGATCACGCGGTATTTACATGTTACTTTATGTGTTGTTATTTATATTATATAGTGTGTATGTATTATATATATGCATATTATATATTATAATTTAATTACTAATTTGTTATTTATTGTTACATGCCCAAAGACCAAATGCAAACAAGTCCCAATGGCCCACATCAGCAACCCTAGCTTCCATCTTTTCTCACAAGCGCTGCGCCACAACAACCCACCTCCGATCTTCACGGCTACATGCCCCAATCCCGAATCGTCCGGCGCAAGGATCTCAGAGACCATCACCAACAAACACAAATATTAGTGTTTTACTCGGATTCAAACACCCAAAAATAGGGTACTCAAACACTATAAATCATGTGTAAATCAAACACAAAGGACAGGGGAAAAATCGGAGGAAAATCGAGAGAGAGAAAAAAATACGGGAAAAGGATACGAAAAAGAGGAGAACACAAGATTGTTCGGGGGGATTTACAGAAATCACTAAGAAATACGCAAGTGATACAAGACGAAATACCCAGAAAATGCACGAGATATACAACAGAATCAGAGAAACCAACGGTTGTAGTCGCGAACTAATAAATAAGGAAGAGGGAGAAGACAGGGGGCATACCATCGTTGTGGACATTGGTTGTCTACAGTACTGTTCATCATCGACGATTGCAACTGCTCACCGAAGTTACCTTCTCGTTTTGGGTTTGCGTGATATTTTCTCTTGTTTAGATTTTAGATCTCTAAGAAACTAAAGAAAATAGGTGTTGAAGGGTAATTGTTTTTTATTTAGAGAGGCTTAAAGATGAAAATCTGAATGGGTTTTGAAACTAAAGAGGAAACTTGTTTTTCTAAAGGTGATTAAGTATTTTTGTTTTGATCCAGCTTTATTTTTTTCCGAGATGAAGTAATGAAGGACACATGAAAGTTTTCCCTTTTGATCGAATATAGGAGGGTTGAACCTGGGGTTTTTAGTGCTTTAGGGAAGTTTTGGTCTAATTATGATACGGGTCATCATATAATCACATATTTATATACTCGGATCTTATCTTTTCTTTCTTTCGATTTGGTCACTTCATGTATATTGATTGTTTCTTTGAATTTTCAATTAATGCAAATTTAGTCTTGTTTTGAATAATTTTTTTTATTAAACATTACATTATATATATATTATTTTATTCTTATTTTTTCTCTCTTTTTGTTTAATTTAATTCCATTATTTTTCCTTTGTTTTTATTTTTGTTTTATTTTTATTTTTATTTTTATTTTTTTATTTTTATTCATTTTGTTTTATTTTATTTTTATTTATTTTACCATTTTATTTATTTTGTTTTTGTTTATTTTAGTGTTCTCCCTTTGTTTTTTTTTGTTCATTTTTTTATTTTTTTTTGTTCATTTTTTTATATTTAGTATTTTCTTTCTTAATCCGATTCGGCATTTCATTACAAATCTAACATTTCTATTTTTTAAGGGTCTTCATTCAAATTAACCAGAGGTAATTAATTCAAATTAAGTTTTTAAAATTTTAATTTCAATTTCAATTTTTCGCAATTAAAGACAACCGAAAAATTAATTGGTACTGAAAGGACGGTTCAAGGGTGCTAATCATTCCTTGACCGTAACCGACTCCCGAACCCGATACATGTCTAGTAAAACGCAGATCAGGTAAGATGGTGTCCGATCTACCTAAATATCATTTTAAATTGATCGATGACGACTCTAACCATTCATTCAAGTCGAAGCCCAATTTCAGGCCCACCTGAAAAACTGTCGCGACAAGAATAAAGCTTAAATTTACAACTTACATGTAATATAATATGGGTAAAAATATAGAAATGATTCCCTAATTATAAGACTTTACATTGTTAAATCTCTTGACTATTAAAAATTATAAAATAATCCCCTAACTATAAGAAACTACTTTGTTAAATCCTTTAACTATTAAAAATTATAAAATGATCATTTAATTACATATATGTTTCAAACTCATTATTTTCGTTGAAAAATTGACTACTGTTTGCATTGAATGTTACCATTATAACTTAACTATGATAAAATTGATCTAAAACTATTTGAATTGTATAAATATTTGAGATTCTGATATCATATTTTTTTCAGATAACCGTCACTTTTTTAACATAACAATAACATATAATTGGAGATCATTTTGTAACTTTAATAATCATGAGACTCAATAAAACATTTTATACTCGAGGAACCATTTATGTATTTTACCCTATAAAAAGTTGTCAACACATCAGAACATGGATTTACGGATGACTCAAAAGTTAAAACATAGGAGGATATATTCGTTTAAATGTACCGACTTGGATAAAAAAAATGAACATATTCATACCAAATAAATATACGTATCCAACACTTTATCGAAATATTTATGATTCATCTTTGGGACGTTACAAATAGCATGTTTGCTCCGGCGAACTGAGGCCGGCCAAATTTTCGGGGTCCCGAGAGATTGAGTCTTGATACAACCCCCAATCATGACCGGACCTCCGTAGCAAGGCTCATGATAAACCGGAAACCTAACAATTTTGCATACAATATGCAATCGTACCAAATAAGTAGAATAACAAGGATTGAAAGTGATTAACAAACAAAAGGGATCTCCACCAAACAAGCTGAAATAAATTAAAATACAGAGATGAACAACCAGCTAAACAATGCACTAAATGAGAATCAATTTGTACAAATTGATATATGTGCCAAATCTTAATTGTTCTTGTTATATAGGGATAGTAGCCTTAAATATTGGGAAAAAGTATGCCAGAGGCCACCAAACTATGCTCAAATGATCATTTTGGTCATTGAACTTTCAAAAGTTACAAAACTATCATTAAAATATTTGACAGTTACAAAAGAATCATTAAATTTCTCGAACTATTACAAAAAATCATTAAATTTTATCGAAATGTTACAAATTATTATAATGCCATAGTGACCATTTTGTAACAATTCAATAAATTTAATGACCATTTTGTAAGTTTAAAAACGATCATTTGATCATGATATAGGAATAAGACAGCTGATAATAAAGGAAAAGTTAACCCTTGAAACGAAAGCAAAGACCATTTCTTCTTCCTCACTCAAGATGATATGAAGATTGATAACATGAAAACAACCCGATGCAACCAAAAGCTTATAATTACCTTGGGAGAAGGATATGATGGTAGGTGCTTGAAAAGGAACCGGAGTCTCGTGCCCTTCCAATCATTTCATCAGTTTAGTTTTCTTGTACTGCAGTCTCAAGCACCAGCCTGAAATTGGACGGAGCTGCCAGAAAGATGAAGTTTTCGGGAAAGAAACTACTCCCGTGTTTGTTTTCATTTTGTCATTCCTTTCTATTCTCAGACTTCTTAAAATCGTAGTTACTACTACTTCACATTATTCATCTCGAGCTGCTACTTTGTCATTGCCTGTTCAACAGGAGTGTTCATCACCTTCTGAATGCAGCAAGGAACGATCAAATGCGCCACCGGTAGAGTCTGGTCCACCCGGAACAACCACCAATGCAACCCTTCTCACCCCGAAGGAATTCACATTTTCAAATCTCATTTCCAAAAGAGCACCTTGTAACCTCCTTGTCTTCGGTCTTCAATTGCAGTACTTCAACCTATCATCTATAAATGCAGGAGGAGTCACTCTTTTTCTCGAGGATGACCCTTACAAGATAAGACAATACAAAGAGGATTCTAACGGGACTCGAATTTATAAGGTTCAGTACCAGAAACCAGCTAAGAATGCATACAAGATGCTTAAGCATTCCAAGGAAAATCCTATTTGTGCACCTCGTACAAGTCTGCTCCAGCAATCGACTTGCAAACTGGCATTGAGAAATTTACCACAAGTGTATCAGCTTAAATGGGATGTAGTGTTAGTGGACGGACCAAGTGGAGAAGCACCGGGAAGGATGACAACCATCTACACTGCTAGCGTGTTAGCAAGAGCCGGTAAGACGACTGATGTTGTAGTACACATTCATAGCACGATTGAAAAGTGGTTCTCTTGGGAATTCCTCTGCGAAGAAAACTTGGTTTCTGCTAAAGGAAAATTCTGGAACTTTAGGATCTCTGATCAATCAAATTCTACTAAGTTTTGCACTTCTGAGAAGGTTCAGATAGAGTAACATCCTTCTTTTTCTGCAGCAACAGAACAATCAGCGGCGGCATTACTACAGGCCGGTTAGTCATAAAATTTGTGAATAAAGATATCATTACATTTGGCATTATAAAAGACCAAAATCAGGGTGCCACATCCAGGATATATTAGGTGGGGAGTCATAATAAAACAAAATTACCCCACACAGTTGAACAATAGAATTCAGGCTCAAACAGGAATGATCAAGTTCCAGAATTGGAGAGTGTGAGTATCTGGAACTGAAGTGTGCGTCTGCCTAGCTGCATATTTTGTTCATGTATGTAAATTTACAGATCATATACACATAGATATATAAATATATATACATGACACTTGGTTAGCACTAACAGTTATCATCGTAACCTTGCATGAGTTGAATCTCATGATATACCAACGGAAACAAGCCCTTGGTGAGGTTTGCCAATTATATGTATGATCTGGGCACCACAGCTCGGAAATCCATTGTCCCAATCCAGAATAGCGAATCTGATTGCTTCAGAAACAACAGAGACATACATATACATTTGAAAGACAAGTAAACAAGTGCGGGAAATGGAACATGTACACAACTTTCAGAGATGAAAAGGAATACATTTAGGGAATTGGCTAAATATCACAGGGGGAAATCACCAGGTTTCCATGACCTACTCCTTTCTTCCCCCAAAGGTTCTCCTAGTGAAACTTTGAATTCACCATAGAGGGGAAAAACAAAAGAACACAAGTTGATTATTTAATTGTCAGCATCACGAGTTGTCTTTCCTTGCAAGATCACTAGTCATTCACCAGAATCTTTTCTGCCAAGAAAGGGAGAAAAGGTAAATTGGGTAAGTATAGAACCAACATACTGCAGAATGAAGTTATAATAAGTTAAAGCCATTACACCAGAGCTGGTTAGTTACATCTGTTATCCTTTCAAGAAGAGATATCCTTACTAGGAAATACTCCAAACTGAATTAATGCTCAAGATGCAGTTGAATGGCTGCACTTCTAAGCAAACTAAAGGCATTCTACAAATAGACCTTTTTGTTACTAACAAGGTAATTCAAAGACCAATTTGGTTGACTTCAGTACTGTCGGTATACGTTCCACACTATTGTACATAGTGACACGTTATTTTGCAAAGATGAAAATCATTTTAGCTGATCGCTTAAGTAAGCGTGGAATAGAGCACATATTCATAATCCAAAGGAAAATCATACGAGTTGTTGTCTTAAGTGAGTACAGAAGAGCACATGTTCATGCTTGCACTTCTATTTCTATCTATGAGACTAACTTTTAGAATGATAATGCATATGAGGATGTGTTCTTACCATTCGTTTACTGATGTAAGGCTGTATCTTAACAGGCATCTCAGACTGGCTTTCAACCGTGAGGAACTTCTGTTTTTCACTCTCAAATTCTTTTCTAGATTCCTTCCGGCTACCTGACTGCCAAACTCTACCGAAATTAGGAAGCCAGTTAGCATCACAATCGCTCTCAACAATCTCCCATCTCTTCTCTTTCTCCAGCTCCATCTTTCGCTTTTCAGCCCAAGCAGCCCCAACCCTTTTTGGATTCATCTTATGGGATTTCCATGACTTGTTTGACAACATAAAGGTACTTGAAACTGGTTTTACTTGATTGTCTAGTAAGGTTTGATCAGTTGCTTCAAGCCAGGGAGGGGGTGCTCCAGAAAGTACATTTCCTCCGGCACCTACTGTTGAAATGGAAGAGTCTTGAGTGAAGCTCTGCAAACCTGAAGAAACAAAGATCATAATTTGATGAATAAAAACTATTGCTCCTTGGAGCATCTCTCCACATAGAAACCAGAAAAGCATAATAGATTTTTTTAGTGTACTAATTATGTATATCTTGGTTTCAAAGTGACTTGGAATGGAAACAGAATTATATGAAACCAAAATACAACTAAACCATTACCTTGGGAACTGCTTTCTCCATTGCCCATTCTTGCACTCTGATACGTTTGGCAGACCTGTGTGAAAATATATATTTCTGAAGAACATAACCATATCATGTATGAAGAAACTACTTTGTGAAATCCCACAAAACAGTCAACTTCATACAAAACAAACTATAAGAAGGATAGATGGCCATGTTGTACAACAGGAATGCAATACCATATTCAAACTTCAAAAACATCAGATAGTTAACCCGAAGGAAAATTTTAAATGATAAAGACCTGGCTTGGAGAAGTATGAATTCAAAGAAAATAATCAACAGGTATTGCAAAATACTAGAATACACATGTTTTTACAAATTGAGGTAAGTGATTCTCTTGTAAATAAATATGAAGCAGACATGAAATGGCATACTCATGAACAATAAAATAAAAACTTAATGGACTCGGTAAAGATTTTTCTTAAAAAGGACAAAGCAGTTGAGAAAACCATTTGATTTCTTACCTTTCTATAAAACCACCATCAAACAACAAAAGAAAATAATATTTCAAATAAGCATAAATATTGTTACGCGATGGTTTCAAACTTGAGCATAAAACAGTCAGAAAACAATTTATAGGAAACAAAATAGGATTAGTTACATAGGGAAAAAGCATGGCATAATAAACTTACCCCAACATTGCTGAGGTAAGCATTCCCAGAGCATATTCCACTGTTGTAAAGAAGATTTTGTTGGCTATTGCTATTAGCTGGAAAATCAGCACAAAGCACATAGGAACAAAACTAATAAGTCAGTTTATTCTCAGCTTCATACAAGAAACTTTCACAGAAATATCAGAGAGAAATAACAAGAACTATATTAAATAAGGAAAATACAAAATAGCCAAATATTCATACCTGTCAAATCATTCGAGTTCAACAAACTCGTATTGGAATGCACACCCGCATGCAAATAAAAGTTAGCCTCATGAAAATTAGAGCTAATGCTTGCAACCTCAGGGAATATCTTGTCCAAGATTATTATTTTTTTAAAGTTGACATTATTGTGGATATCCTTTGAAGCTCCACATACAACACCACAAGATCCTCAATAGGAGCAGGCATTGCTCCATCCTTCAAAGACTCACACTTCTTCTCCCACTACAATAACCAAAACCAAAATCCCATCACATGATTAACCTTCCAAGCTCTCTTTAGAACAATCTAAATGGTCGTACCTTAGTTAGATCAGTTTCTGCTATCCTATATTTGTCCAATTGTTCCATCTTACCACCGTATTTCCAGAGAAAATGCTTCAAATTCTTCAGGTGATGTGATTAATAGCATTTTCACTGTTCAAGAACCAAAAACACTTGAGATGTTCTTTCATACAACACCATTACAGTTAAATCACCGAAAAACCAAATAAAAAAAGCAAAGGTATCTGTGTTGATCTCCAAATTTAGTCAAAATATGTTGCCAGTCCCCGAGCTTAAATGAAGTTTGAGATTTACTCCTATTCTTAAAAAATATATTCCCAAGCGTCTCCCGTGTTGAAAGTTTCACTCTCTTCGCCTGGCGTTAGAAAACCATCTTTGATCCTTGGTATAGTGCAACTCCATCTGAGAAACCTGGTGAGGTGGGGTTTAAACGAAAGTTTCCTGTCAACCACTGAACCGTATGTCCACTCGACCTTTGTTAACCAGTTATGTTAAAATTAATTTAGATGGTGTTTTTGAATTCGTTGAGAGGATAGCAGTTGTAGGTGTTATTGTTTGTGATTTTTTTGGCAAAGTACTTAATGAAATGGTTGCGGATTGTAAGGTTGTGTTGAAGTTTGTCTATCGGAGATTCACGTGTTCAATGCTGCTCTCTTGTTGGCTAGCGAGTAAATTTAGACCCATGTCATATTCGAATTGGATTTGATGCTCGTTGTTAACAAGTTGTCCCGACAAGGGGAGGATCTATCCAGATTGGGTTACCACCTTTTTGAAGCTCATAAGACACTAGAAGCTAGGATCTACTTCAAGATTTGTTATGTTCCTAGAACTTGTAATTTTGTTGCCCATACTCTAGCTACATGGACTCTTAGGTTTGGTGATATTTTTGTATTTTGACTCGGTTTATCCTGAGCTTATATTTTATTATGTATTCACCGATTATGCTTATGGTAATACAAGTTCCTAGGACACTATTTTCCCCTTATAGGATTAAAAGGGGATTTTATGAGGCTTTTTTTTTAAAAAAAAAAAAATATATGTTCGTGGGTTGGTTCAAGGTATCTAGAGATAAATTTTGTTAACCGAACTTGGAAAAAACGAATAAAAATCTGATTAAGTGAACTACTAGATAAAATCAAATAATTGCCTTAAAAGTCTATCTACATAATGTAAAAATTTAATGTATTTAGTTATTTTTTTTAAGATTTCGAGTTTGAATATCGAAAAGTGAATTTTTTTATTTTTTTTATTTTTAAGGACATCATTCTAACTTTTCAAATACACTAATCAAACTCAATATCTCAAACCATCATAACTCGATATTCTTTGCTCATGTTAAAAAGAAATAATCGTTATTAACAATTACAATCATAATCTTCCAAAACTATATTATCAACACTGATAATGTAAAACTTGGTTTGAGACACTGATAATTCTTTATTTATAATTCATCTTAATAAACAAGGGATGCATGTGATTAACAAGTTTAGCAAGAAACTTTAACCAAACCATATGATCAAAGAGACATAAAAACAACATACATAGATGTTGATAAAGGACTGAAGTAAATGGATTATCTAGTGGGGTAGTCAGGTTGACCCATGAAAAGGAGACTGGTCCAGCTGAAGCTAAGAAAAGCCTAATGAAGAATCCCAACACTTATTTTACTGAAGGTGATCCAGCATTGGAGTGATCTTTTAGACTAGAGGTCAACTCTAGGAAACTTGTATGAAAATAATTGGTGTGGTGATGTGATCCTACTCTTACACCTTATACTCTTGTGTGGTGATGTGATCCTACTCTTACACCTTATACTCTTCATCTTGCTTTCTTCCTATGTAGATAAGATGAAGGACCAGAGAGCATTTACTTACCTTTCACATCTTTTCAATTTCTTTACATCTTATACTTACTTTACATTTACTTTATGATATGTTAGACATGTTTTATTCATCTTACTATAATATACCATGCATGAATTTTATGTTAAGTCAAGTATGATGATTCCATGCCTTATGTTACATGCCATGTTTAATATGCATTATCATATCATATACTTAATTTATTTCATGTATATTATGTTAAGCATAGTCATGACATGTTATAGTCCTTATATTATGTTCATTCTTTACTTTGCTTAGCATAATTCATTCGTCCATATC